CCTACTTCTCTAGAATTTTCTTGGTCATCAATACGACATGTTCTTAACATAACTACTCTTAATTTCTTAATTATCGGTAACCCTCTGAAACAAAAGGAAAATTAATTTAGGAGATGCTCGTATTCAATCAGGATGTTTGACCTTGGATCAACCTAACCTCTATATTTCATAAGATGTTTTTTCATTGAAGAGGATGAACTAGACATTTTTCATCATCGCACCCAAGGCAAATCGAAACAAAGATCTTCCACCAATATTTTCATTCTCTTGCCCTGCTATGATACTGGTAATAAAGAGGTCTCTTTCTTTCCTCCGGCATGGTTTCTTTTCCCGTTCATGATTTCTTTATTTCTACCAAGTTTTAAGCAATTTGCAGGAAGTAAACAAAGTCTTTACTTTTGAAATCCACTCCTGAAGTCACGNTGTGCAGTATCCAAATGATAGGTCTCTCTCTCTCACCCACACACACATGTACACTACATGTATATGCACCTTGTACGATGCAGATCAACTTATATACACTAACACTGAGTTATTTACCAAGAGGGATAGGGATCACTTCCCAATTATTAAATTTTTTTTCTTCTTTTTTTAGTAGTGCACCTATATACTAAAAATCCTAGATCCGGCTCTGTTCTTATGTATTTTTTTTCTTATCATGCAGGGGCACAATCTATTGGAGTATGCTATGGAAAAATTGCCAACAATTTACCATCAGTTCAAGATGTTATAAAACTATACAATGCTAATGGCATCAGGAGGATGAGAATATACTATCCACACACAAATGTCTTCAATGCTCTCAAAGGAAGTAACATTGAGATCATTCTCGATGTCCCAAATCAAGATCTTGAATCCCTAACTGATCCTTCAAGAGCCAATGGATGGGTCCAGGATAACATAATAAATCATTTCCCAGATGTTAAATTTAAATATATATCTGTTGGAAATGAAGTATCTCCCACAAATAATGGTCAATATGCACCATTTGTTGCTCCTGCCATGCAAAACGTGTACAATGCATTAGCAGCAGCAGGATTGAAAGATCAAATCAAGGTCTCAACTGCAACATATTCAGGGATCTTAGCGAATACCTACCCGCCCANATTATCCATTGTTTGGTTTGATGTATTAAAGCATTGTGCAATTTCTAAAAGAATTATTTATTTACAAAAATGCCCTCAAAACCAGTCCATCACTTTAACTTTCTAAATGAAACATATGTTAAAGAAATATTTTTATATGAAAAAGTTTTTAAAAAATTATTTAATTTGTCTACTTATATTGTAAAATAGAACTAAATATTTATTTATAAAAAATGAAATATGCTAAGTATTTATTTATTTACTAGGGCTATAATTTTATTTCTCACTATTTGGTTTATTTTAAACTTCCATCAATATAATAACTAGCATATTTTAATCAAGCATAAATGTTGAAGGACAATTTTGTCTTTACTAAGCTAATGCATGCATTAAACCCCATTGCATTGCTAATACCATTGTTTTCTATGCATTAGTTATGCATAGGATAATACCAAATAGGATGTATAACTAATGCTTGCATAACTAATGCATAAATTCAAAATATCTACCAAATAATGTATTATTAATACACAAAATTAATGCATGCATTATTTTATCTAATGCATCCTACCAAATGACCCCTTAATTTCTTAACTTTGTGGGCCCTGTAACAGTTGATAAATTGTCCTCAGCGCCGTTGCAACTACATTATGCAATGTAATTTGCTCCCTAGCACTATAAAACATTGACAAAGTCAAATGATGCATTTATTAATAGTAGTCCTTATTTCTTTTTCTCAACTTTAAAAAATAGGGTTCTATGTGACCTATAGGTCACGAGTTTGAGTTGTAGAACCAGTCATTGATACTTACATTAAGGTAGACTGCTTATATTATAGCCTTAGGGGTACAGTCCTTCCCAGACCCGGCGTGAACACATAATATTTTATACATCAAATTGTCCTTTTAATAGGTATGTATAATAGAGATCTCATAGCTAGAGAAATTAAAGAATAGATAGAGAAAAGGATTAATATGAAAGCAACCTTCTTGAAATCACAAAGTTTGTCTGATGTCAAGTGGAAGAATCTAATCTAAAATCATAGACAATAACTGAAGTGCATACTACACATCCCAAGACTATTATAATTTATTTCGGAATAACCTCGTAAACCAAACGATCCCTTAATGGATATAAGGGATATAATCTCTAACACTCATTATTTCCTTAGTTTCAAGCATGGGATAAGTGAATTTTTTGATATTTAGATGAGAGAATTGGTGGGAACAAGAGACTTGATCGGTTTTTCTATATAGAATAACTTTAATCTTGTTCATGTTTTCTAATTGCATGGAATTCCAAACATCATTGACGTATGAATTCCACAATTGTTATACTCGTCTGTCAAATCTGAAACTTGACTTCCATATGATTGTGTTGAATTGTCAAATTAATGGGTAGAATAAAAAAATAGATCATAGTAAAAAGAAGGGAAAATAGCATTTTTCACCCGAATTATTGCATTATTCCGCTTTTAGTTGTGTTATTCATCTTCAATTAAACAAAATGTGTGATTTTAATCAAATCAATTATACCAAAAAACAAAGAAAGAATTACAAGAAAACACACATGACTTTACATCATGACAAAAAATAACTCATGTTTTAAAGTTTTAACACACCTGACCCATATTGTATATATTTTGAAAACACTAGCTTGGATGGTGAAATTTCAGTCACATTGTGTTATCGGACCTATATGAGATAGGGTGACGTGGGATCACCCCCGGGTATGTGCATGGTAAGGTTACACAACGATTTGATGGTCTTCGAAACAACTCTGGGCACGTTCGAGGACGAACATATGTTTAAGTGGGGGAGGATGTAACGACTCGACCGGTCATTTTAAGTTTTTGCATTTCGCTTGCCAGTTCTCGGGCAAGACCAGCCCCGTATGATGTATTATGACTTATGTAAATCGTCGTTTTGGTTTTCAGGTTAATCGTAGTGGATTTGGAAGAAATAGTTCTCAGTTTGAAGCTTAAAATTTGAAAGATTTGACCAAGTTTTGACTTATTAGTATATGATCTCAGATTTGAATTTTTATGATTTGGTTAGCTTCGTTAGATTATTTGGGACTCATGAGAGTGCTCGGAATGTGTTTTGGAGGTCCGGAGTAGATTTAGGCTTGAATTGGCCAAATTGAAATTTTGGCGATTTCCGGTTGATGGGTGAGATTTTGATATAGGGGTCGGAATGGAATTCCGGAAGTTGGAGTAGGTCCGTTGTGTCATTTGTGACGTGTGTGCAAAATTTCAGGTCATTCGGACGAGGTTTGATAGACTTTTTGATTGAAAGCGGAGATAGAAGTTTTTGGAATTCTTAGGCTTGAATCCGATGTAATTTTGGTGTTTTGATATTGTTTCGAGTGTTACGAAGGTTGGAACAAGTTTGAATGAGGTTATGGGATATGTTGGCATGTTTGGTTGAGGTCTCAAAAGCCTCGGGTGAGTTTCGGTTGGTTGAAGGGATCATTTCATGTCGTAGGAAATTGTAGAAAAACTGTTGTTGGTGTTGCAGGTTTTTCACCTTCGCGTTCGCGATGGATGTCCCGCGTTCGCGAAGGGTTAGGATGTGGGGCTGTAGAGTTGGCCTTCGCGTTCGCGAAGGTGGTCCCACGTTCGCGAAGGGCTGAGGTCAATGGCCATCGCGTTCGCGAGGTTTTTGCCGCGTTCGCGTAGAGGAAGTGGAATAGCTGGGACCCCAAGACATTTATTCTACGCGTTCGCGTAGTAGAGGTCGCGTTCGCGAAGAGGTGAGTCAGTTGTGCATCGCGTTCACGAGAGGTTCCTCGCGTTCGCGTAGAAGGAATTTTGGTCAGTGAAGCTTTATGCTTCGCGAACGCGAGGATGCTGCCGCGTTCGCGATGAAGAATATCTGGGCAGACAGATTATATTTGGAAATCGAGGGTTTAAGTCCAATATCACAAAAACCATTGGAGAGCTTGGGAGAAGGTGAAATTGAAGAAGATTTTCAGTAGAGCTATTGGGGTAAGTATTCTTCCCTCATATTTGGTTTAATTCCATGATTTAGTCTTGAATTCCATCATTTAATTTGAGAAATTAGAGTGAAAATTTGGGAGAAATGGAAGAAAAGTTTGAGAATTCTTTTGGGGACTTGAATGGGCATTTGATGTCGGATTTTGATGATTTTGGTATGTATAAACTCATGAGGAAATAAGGATTCTAGTTTTGTAATTTTTATCGAATTTCGAGACGTGGGCCCGGGGGTCGGGTTTGGCCAATTTCGGGATTTTTTATGTAAATTGGATGTTTTCAAGTGGACTTTGTTCCCTTAGCATATTTTGATAGTATAAATCTACTTTAGGCTAGATTTGGAGCATTTGGAGGCCGAGTCGAGAGCGAAGGCATCGCGGGTGTCACACCTCCTTTTTACAACCGAGGGGTATATGGGAGTTTTTCCAATTAAAGTGACATTATTCGAAATGGGATTAATTAATTCAGAGTCGCCACTTGGAATAATTATTGGTGTCACAAGTCACCGGTTTATCTTAAAATCCCAAATCAAGGAAATTTTCGACTTTATTTAAAAGTCTGCAAACCAGAAATTCTAGATACGGAATTCTGTTAACCCGGGAGAAGGTGTTAGGCATTCCCGGGTTCCGTGATTCTAACACGGCCGCTTAAACTATTAAAAATTGGCATATTATCTGATTTACTACATATTTTAAACCTATTGTGCATTTTTAACCTTTTAACCGCTTTTAGGATTTATGGAATTATTTCTTGAACAAGTTATGATTGTCGTACACTTGCCGTTTTGGAACACACCGCGAACCACGCTACATGAAATGCACCCGCGATTCGCGACATGTTTATTTTATTATTGCTTGAAGTTGTTATGATCGGGTCACATGAAATGCACCCCCGAATTTGGGAATTAGGTATCATAACTATATCACGGGAACCGTACCCATAGCCACGATAATTTATTAACAACCGCGCCTAAAGCAAGCAACGAGGATTCAATTTTTAATAGCAATATTTGTGAGGGTCATGGATGATTTAATTTATTTATGGCACACCTCAAACCTTTTTCTATAAGTGTTAGTTCTTGAATCTAATCTTATGAGGGCCATGGATTATAAATTTGTTTGGCATGGCACGCCTCAAATTATTTCAAAGGGTTTTATTATTCGAAGTTGTTATAATCGGGTTACATGAAATGCACCCCTGAAATTTTGGAATTAGGCATCGTAACTATGTCACGGGAACCATACTCATAGTCACAATGGTTTATTAATCGCGCCTAAAGCAACTAGCGCATTTGAATTATTTTTAGAGCCGTCAATATGGGCTTGGCCGGTTGGGCCAACCCAGCCCAACCCGTGATTTAGCAGGGTTGGGCTAGAATTTTTGGAGCCCGTTTAAAAATGAGGCTTTTAAGCCAGGCCCGAGTAAGCCCGTGGCCCGTGAGGCTTGACTGAGGCTGGGTTGGGCCGGCCCGTGGGCCTAATAAAATATTTATTTAAAATATATAAAAAATAAAAAGTATACTGCCTCTAGAGATGGAAAGTTAGAACTGGATATTTACTAAGAGGAACCAAATCTTGATCTTGAGAAGCTTCAAGAAATGGATGTTGACATGTATTAGAAGGATCATTGTAGAAAATATCTCGATCTTTCAATGATGGTGCGTGATGTACTTGGTATTTCTATTAACATTGTAGCATCAGAATCAACATTTAGCATTGGTGGCGTGTTCTTACAAAGTACAGAAGTTGCATTTATTATGAAAATGTCCAAAGACTTGTTACTACTCGAAATTGGCTGCACACCTTTTCCCAAACTCAAACTGGTAATATTTTTTATGTGAATTTAAATATTATTAATTTTTAAAATTTAATTATTCTTAATATTTAACTAATTAATATTGCGTATGAATTGTAGATGTAGATGAAAGTGAAGATGTTAAGACAACATTGTCACAAACAAATTCAAATGTGTTTGATGAAGATGATGTATTGGATATCTCATAAGCATCATGAACGCTCTCTTGAATAGTTTGTTTTGAGTTTTGACTTTTAGTGAATGAAATATATTCTTGTCTTTTACTTTTTTTANAATTGTCAACAGCTCCGACCGGTATACAAAGACGAGCACGCTGCATCTGAAGATGAGTAAGACCTGGAGCTCTACACCTCACTCGACCGCGGAACCAATGCCGGCAACCTTGACAGAACTCGAACTGAAAATTTTCCGGCGACATCGATTTCGAGCGCAGAGTTTCAATGCAAGATTTCAGAGCTAAAACAGTGACCTTTTGGTGTAAATTTCTAGCTGGCACGAGATGGATTTATAGGAGGAGAAGTTGAAGTGTTGATGGCTGTTTTTGGGACTTTTTGGTGTGGGAATTTCAGCTGGGTTTTCAGAGCTTTAACATGGGTTTGGGGTTGGTTTGAGCTCGAGTTTTAGAGCTGAAAATGGTGGTGCTCATGGTGTTGCTGCTCGGCTGGAGCTCGTTTTTCCGGCGAGCTGCTGGAGCTCATCTTTCCGGCGAGCTGCTGAGGAGGAAGACGAAGAGAGCAGCAACTGGTCCTTTTGTGCTTAAAACTCTCTTTTGGTCTTTAGCGTTAGGTCTCTAAGGTTCAAATGGCTGCCCTTTTTTTTTTTTTTCTCCTTTAGAAGATGAAGACAGCTCTTGAAATGTGAAAAGAAGCCTAGAATTAGAGTGCGGAATCAAAATGTGGTTCTTTTGGACTTAAACTACATAAATAGATGGAGAAAAAAAAGTTACATTTTTATGTATAGCGCCACATTACCTGGCGTTGTACATTAACAGTAACGACACCGTTAACATATAGTGCCAGGTATTGTGGCGTTATACTGTAAAATCTGACATGGACAGGTATAGCGCCACAATACCTGGCGCTATACATAGAGCAATAATGTATAGCGCCAGGTATTGTGGCGCTATACATAGATATTTCAAAAGCCTTCCGTCTTCTTCTCCAATTCATCCACCCCCATTATTTTAAAACTCTTCCCCTCTTCTTGGTCCCCCACCGCGATTCTGCCCGTTTTTTTAAAAAAGAAAAAAAAATTTGGGTCCCCCGACACATAAAACTCGAAGAACGTAGGTCCCACATTCGAGGAGAGCTTTGTGTTATTGTTGATTCACACTTCCGGAGTCAAAATTTCTATCTTTTTGCTTTCCGGCAATTCTAAATCGAGTATTTCGATTTATTTTAAGTAGAAACATTTATAATAATGCATATTATTTGATTTCTATGTGTTCTATTTCGGTTTGTGTTTTTTTTTCGAAACTAGCATGTTAAATTTATCCGGATTT